CATGTCGTCTTTCAGAATAGTGGGAAAAAACATCCAAAATATTTTAATAATAACAATTACATTGCCCTGCATTATATTTGCTTGTTGAAAACCTTGTTTCCTTTTAATTATGATGTGCTGATTCTGAAAATACTGTCTATTTTGTTTGAGCACGTCACACTTTCTCAAAATATGCATTTTGTGGCATTATTGCTTTTGACAACTATTTGTAAGGTGATGAAGTCTCGCATTCTCCCTTAATCAATGAAAAAAAAATATGTGATGGAAAGTTTTTATTGATATTTTTGAACTCAGCATCATCAAATTTGGTAATATTACGTTTTTTTTTTTTGGCAATTCAACATTATTTTTCTAGACACAGGGCTGTTATTGTTGTCTGTTGCTTTGAGTTGCAATACATATCTTTAAAGGCCATTTCCTCAAAATGAGTTAATAAGAAAGTGTTTCTCAGTGTACTGTGAATAATTAACTGGGGAAGTATGGTGATTTCTATTAGTTTGTACCCTTTTCACCTGTGGTGTCTGAGCACATTTTCCCTTTTTCTCATCTCAGTCTGCAGCTCTATCATCACCACACCATTCAGGGTAATGCCAACGAGCTACGCAGGATGGCCGGCGGAGACAGGCGCACTGTGGATCGTCCTCGGCAGTGCTTACAGCCGCTCCTCATGGCAGAGCAGGCAATGGCAGAGAGCTGAGGGACATCAGAGCCAACTTTAATAGCCACTGTCTGTGGAAATGTGTTTAAGGTTCACTATTTGTTTCTTGCTTTGTGTTTTTTCAAGGAATACGTCACTCAAAAATGAACATTCACCCAATAATCCACCCAAAAATGTTGTTCCGAAACCATATGCTGTTGTTTTTTCCATGAAAGCAAAAAAAGGAGCAGTTGTTAAACTCCAGAAACATATAAAAACCATAGCTCCAATTGAGCTGTGCTGCTGTGCAGTATATAATCAGTGATTTGAAGTCTTTGTGTGATTAACTAATTGAATTAAAGCTTATATCACTGTCAGTTTGCATTGGTCAAATCTGACTAATTAGTTTAACCCTCTGGTGGTCTTTGGTCATACGGTCACGTCAAAAAAAAAAAAGGAGCATTTTGAATTTTTGGTACAAATAAAATGTGGACATTATTTAAAAAGGCTAAATGGTCTTGTGATCCTCACAGTCGAAAATAACTGGAAATACTAAAAATACAAAATACACAAGTAAATATTTAAGAACAAATATTAGAGAACAAATATTACTGCAGCAAAATGTAGTATATATATTTAATTAAAAATGCTTATTTCATCTCTTTTGACTGCCGAGGATCACAAATGAAAGTGAGGAATACCCGAGGGTTAAAATTAGATTGTGTTTTATTAACGTCTACACCTACCCCAACCCTAAACCTACCCCTTACAATAATGCAAAAATAGTAATTATTGTTGTACAGTGTGAGAAAAATTACGCTATATTTATGCAGTTTTTGCTGTATCCCTTCTAGCCTTAAAGGGTTAATTCACCAAAAATGAAAATTAGTCTGTGTTTTACTCACCCTCGAGGCATCCTAGGTGTATATGACTTTCTTCTTTCAGTCGAATGCAGTCGGAGTTATATTAAAAATGGTCCTGGCTATTCCAAGCTCTATCATTGCAGTCAGCGGGTGTTGCAGTGCTTCAGTCCACAAGTCGTCAAATAAAGCTAGCGCATTCATAATAAAACGTACCTCACACGGCTCCGGGGGGTGAATAAAGGCCTCCTGTAGTGAATCCATGCGTTTTTGTAAGAAAAATATCAATATTTCAAACGTAATAAACACTTTTCTCTCACTTCCGGTGTCTGTCATATGTGGAAGCCGTTCCGATGACGCAGCACGTGTGCGCACTGCGCGCGCCTCTGAGATATGCTAGTCTCGCGAATTTGTTTATAGGAGCAAAGGAAGCAAAGTTTCCTTACTTTAGCAAAGGAAAACCAGTCTCGTCTTGGTTTATATCGAAATCCTCCGACATTTTTATTTGCAAATCCTTGGTTTGTACTTCTAATTCATGACTGGCGTTTTGTTTTGTTCTCTCGCCGCATTCGTCACTAATCACGCAACGCCGACGTCATACGTCATCCGCCGGAACGGCTTCCGCGTATGACAGTCAGTGGAAGTGAGAGAAAAGCATTTATTACATTTGAAATATGGATATTTCTCTTACAAAAACGCATGGATTCGCTACAGGAGCCCTTTATTCACCCCCCGGAGCCGTGTGAGGTACGTTTTATTATGGATGCGCGCGCTTTATTTGACGACTTGTGGACTGTTCAACTGCAACACCCGCTGACTGCAATGATAGAGCTTGGAATAGCCAGGACAATTTTTTATATAACTCCGACTGGATTCGTCTGAAAGAAGAAAGTCATATACACCTAGGATGCCTCGAGGGTGAGTAAAACACAGTCTAATTTTCATTTTTGGGTAAACCGTTAAAAAGGTTGAGTATTGGTGCCGATACCAATCCAGAATCTGTGACTCTTATAACAACTGTAAAACTGAATGCGGTGTACAGTATGGTTTGATGTGGAAAACGTACAATTTTGATTCTGTGCATGTTGGGTAATGTGTATCCCGATGAACTTTGTCTGCATTTAACATTAAATACTTCGATTGGTCTGTTTAAAGGTGCGTTCAGTAGTTCTTCTTCTTTGTGTACTTGAAGTATCGCTACTATAATGGTGTTCGACGCTGCACTGCCATCTATCGACGTTGATCAGCATGACGACCTCTGTGTTTTATGTAAATTACACTGGTTTTACACATGAATCCCCTTACCTGTCGAACTATTCACCGCCTTTAAAACCTTTTCTGCTTCTTCGGCTGTACAGGTAGTATTTCACCCGTTGTGTCCATTGATAAATCACGATAATAAGTGTTTTCCATCGTCTAATTTGAACTCTTCGCGTCAGCAAACTAAACTACGCTACTAGAGTATCCACACCACGGGTCACGTAAAGATGGCTAAGTACACTGAGGGGGCGACCCGTACCATGTAAAATAGGGCGACCAGTCGTTTTTGGTGTCCTATCCTTCTTTTTATTTTTCTTGTTAGTTTTATGGCGGATTGCAACCATGACTTATCAG